CTCAGGGTTCCCACCCACCCATCCAGCACACTGACAACACACTGTGTGTGTGTGTGTGTGTGTGTGTGTGTGTGTGTGTGTGTGTGTATGTATGTATGTATGTATGTATGTATTCGAACCTGGGCTATATTACATCTTAGGCAGACGTCTTAGCCATTAAGACGAATCCCAGGAAGGGTATGGCTAGCTGATGAGAGCTAAATAGCTTGAAATAGATCTATACTAGTCTCCCTTTATTTATTTATGAGCACAAATACCACACAAATATAACAAAGGCAGCAGTAAAAATATTGGGTTTCTGTTGTGATGGACTCTTGTGATGAGCCGATTGACAGATAATGGAAGCAATTATGGGAGGGAGCATACTGCTTCCCTTTTCTGTCTATCAGCTCACTCTGGGAGCCATTCAGGCAGAAAGTCATTTTTTATGTTGCCTTGCACAATTGCAACACACACACACACACACACACACACACACAAACACATATATCCCTTTATTATTTTTACAAATATCTCAAGGCTAAAAACATATCTAGCACATTTTCTTCCTCTGATTCTCCCCGCCCCCAACAACAATCTTGTGAGGTGAGTTGGGCTGAGAGAGAAAATTGGGTCACTCAGATAGCTTTCATGCCTAGGGCAGGTCTAGAACTCACTGTCTCTGGTAATGACCCAGGGGGGTTTCTTGCCTAAGGCAGAATTAAAACTCAGTCTCCCTGGTCCAAAGTCACTCAACTGGCTTTCATGGCTAAAGCAGACTCACAGTTGCCTGCTTTCTATCCCGATGCCTTAACCGTTGGAGCAAACTGGCTCTCTATGTAAGTTCCTAATGGCTCAATGTCTTGTGGAAAACAAAATGTTGAAGTAACCTTTCATGATACTTCTGCTAACTGACATGGAACATAAAGTAAATAAACAAGTCAAGCTATTCACAAAGGCTCAAGAATATGTTCTAAAGTCACCCATTTTTACCATTTATCTGTAATACTAATACGTTTGTAAGTTAATGTGCATAGGGCTGAAGCCTCTTACATGACACCTTTCTGATGCACACTTCTTGACAGTTGCCAAGCGTCCTGGCTCTATCATATATTTTATTTAAAAAAATAATAATTCTGAAAGCAACTGAAAAATGTTGTTCTTCAATATATCAATCCTTTGTGCTGGCACAAGTATGTCCCTTGGGGTAGCCCAATTGTGAATGGGCAAGCCCTTGCCTTGACAGCCATTTTATAAGATTCCTAACTTGCTAGCAAATTTCCCAATATATTCATGGCTCTGGTAAAAAAAAAAATCAATCACTCACCTGTGATTTTGTCCATGATCTCCTCCGAGACATGCTCATTTTGGTGAACCCACTCTCCATTGCATTTAAAGAAGATCTGCATTGCTGGCATGGCTCTGCAGCGCAGCACAATTGGGTTGCTTTTAATTATATACGCATCATCAGGTTCTTGCATGAAATGGGGTAATGTCCCTGGAGCAGATGGAACAGATTCTGGCAGGGTTTCACTGGTGTCCATTCCTGGAAAAGCAAAAAAGAGGATGTCACGCCATATAAAGATCTTCCACCAATCCCGACTAAAAGGCAATGAATGTGTTCTATTCTATCCCTTCCATACGAAACCTATAGAATAAGCTTTGAACTTCCAAAGCATACATGATAAAATTCAGAAGGCTGGTTCAGGAGCCGAGGTGGCGCAGTGGTTAAAGTACAGCACTGCAGGGTACTTCAGCTGACTGCAGTTCTGCAGTTCGGCTGTTCAAATCTCACCGGCTCAAGGTTGACTCAGCCTTCCATCCTTCCGAGGTGGGTAAAATAAGGACCCGGATTGTTGGGGGCAATATGCTGACTCTGTAAACTGCTTAGAGAGGGCTGAAAGCCCTATGAAGCGGTATATAAGTCTAACTGCTGTTGCTATTGCTATTGCTATTGGTTCTAGATCAGCATTTGTCAATCTTATCCATTTTAAAATGTGTCAGAATGTGAAATGTATCCCAGAATTCCCCAACCAGTATTCAGAAATGAAAAGGTTAAAAATAAATTACTCAAAAGACAAAAAAGACATTAGACTTTTTCTGAACTTGTCCTACTGTTGGGAAATTTCCAGCCAGGCAGGAGAGAAGTTTCAAACTGGTTATTCTTGAATCCTTGGTAAGACACAAGGGATCCAGAACTGAACCCCCTCCCCTTAAGCTCCATGGATATTACCTATCTGTTCCCAGGCAAGTCTAGGGAGAATTCTGTATAATAGGCAGAATATAATAATGTCATTGGCTTGAACCTTACATGTGCCTATTCACTTGTGCCTGACACCTACCATATTTTTTAGAGTATAAGATGCACCTTTTTCTTCCCTAAAAGAGGGTGAAAATTTGGGTGCGTCTGATACACCAAATGTAGCCCTTCTCACCCACCGGCCCCCACCCTTTGGCCTCTGCTTCCCAGTAATTTACCTCCTTGCAGCAAACTAAGAAAATGGGGCTTGCAGAGATGGCAATAGGCTATGGCAATGCCTGCAGCCTGAAACAGCTGATCATTGGGAGGCTGGTGCTTAAACTGAAATTGAAAGTGAATCTTGCTGTTTGCTGCAAGGAGGCAAATTGCTGGGAGGCAAAGGCAGATTTTTTTCTTCTAATCAGGCTAAATTGAAACAGGCTGTTTGCTGTTTGCTGCGAGGAGCTAAGTCAATAACTATAAATGCCCATAGAATGTTCAAATGATTAGACTTATTTTTTTAAAGATTGCTTTATTATTGTTCTAGCCAAGTTAACAAAATGAAGAAGCTTTTTAAAATAAATGCTTGATCTGAAGAGGCCCAGTGCTATTGTATCTTCTTTTAAATAGCAGAGAATAACATATACTTCTCCAGAAAGCCACATCAATTTTAACAGCATCTGTAAAAGTATAGTCTGAAATGTAACACCACAAACAGTGTATATCTTCTGTACTGTTTGCTATCTGCTGCAAGGAGGCAAATTTCTGGGAGGCAGAGGCAGATTTCCCCCCCTTGTTTTCCTCCCCAAAAGCTAGGTGTGTACAGCAGAGCGTCTTATACAGTATCACGCAGTGCTGAAGAATTTTTTGCCTGTTTTGCTCAATTTTTAACACAACTGGTTTTCATTATGTTCTGAAAGGCCATTGAACAATGGTTTCCAAATAACATTAGCTTTTTTATACAATATATGCCATTTTCCAAATCCAAAGCAATAAAATTATATTTAGCTTAGCATAAATCATAACCACATTATGATTTGTCTTCTGGATCTCCTTAAGTTGCTGGGGGAAAACATGGAAAGGTAAATTAATGTTTTTTTTATGCAAACCACATGGAGAGAAGGGAGAGGGGATGAAATATAACCACATAATCAGAAAACACTAAACACTCTAAAGAGGTCATCTGCCTCAACATCTGATGAGGTGGACACCAAAGCAGCAAAAAATGCATTTCTTATTTTAATTTTTCAATATTGACTCCAAGTTCAATTTACTTGGTGATTTGTATTCACTTTAATTTTAAGTGTCTGTTCTATATAAGAAGAATGGCATTTCACTTCAAATGTAACTTAAAATAGATAGAATTTAGTACAATTGTTTGGGAATTTGACTTCCACTGCTTGCATCAACCTTCTGCAAGGCAGAATTCACAAATAAAAAATTGATTTTTGTTTACATTATATGGCCAATAGTGCATTCCCTGTCTGCTTTTCTTTGGAAATACACTGTTTACTCCAACAACTTTTCAGAGAATAAAGTTATTATAATGACTCAATTCCCTTTCTTGCTTCTCTTAGATATGTCCTACAGCATATTTTATGCAATAATATGATGTTCAATTTAATAGGGCCATATAAATGGTTGAAAGCCACCAGATCAAAGTGCATAAAACAATAACATTTGGAATGTTCGTCCTTTGCTAATGGAATGTCTAATGCTTGTATAGTCTGGCTCATAGTATTTATTTCCAGCATACTTTTTAAAATTCAGTTTAAAAAATCTGGTGCTAATTTACAGAGCTTTGGGGCAATGCAAATTTATGCCAGGTAAATTTTTCTTTATAAACAGAAGTGGTTGGCTGTTGTCAATGCAAACACATAAAAAGAATTCAAAAGCATGTTTCAATCCAATTGAATGAAAGCCAAGAGAGCCAAATATAGAGTTTTTCTTCTTCTTCTGCAGAGCACTAAATGCCTATGCCTAGCCACACAAAACAGACACTTTGGAAATTAATAGCCCCACAATGTTTTGTGGGAAAGGGCTGGAATCACATCTGACCTAAACTAAGCCTGCAACAAGTCTCCCCCACCCTTCCACTCTCAAAAAAGTGTTTGTGTTGACATTTTTGTTTTAGTGCCTAGGTGGCGCAGTGGTTAGGGTGCAGTACTGCAGCCACTTCAGCTGACTGTTAGTTCTGCAGTTCGGCGGTTCAAATCTCACCGGCTCAGGGTTGACTCAGCCTTCCATCCTTCCGAGGTGGGTGAAATGAGGACCCAGATTGTGGGGGCAATATGCCGACTCTGTAAACCGCTTAGAGAGAGAGCTGAAAGCCCTATGAAGCGGTATATAAGTCTAACTGCTATTGCTATTGCTATAGTGCACCACTAAATAATACTGTTTTCCTAAGATAGAGATGGCCAAATTGGTTGGTCATCATTTTCTTGTATGGCTGGAAAGAGACAGTTTACTCCTTTTTGTAAAATATTCTTATTTTAGGAATATGGATTTTTTTTTCTTGATTCTTTTTTCTTTCATCAGTCTTTGGGAGTCTTAGGATCAGAAGGGAGATACCAAAATAGGATCAATGATGTTGGGAATACTAGTAGCCCACCCTGTTCCAAGAGAAGGATAAGTACAGTTGGCACTGTCAAATGTTTCTCAACTATTACTTTCTATGGACCATGATGGGAGTCATGATGGGAGCAAACATACAATATCAACTGGAGAATCATGCAAGAACTTCAGTTTTATCCAAATAATCATGCTGATTGTAATCCTTAGGGTAAAATACTCACAAAACAGAATCTGTGCCGAGTTATCATGGCCATATTATCTAATTGTACCTGTTAAGTCTTCAATGGAGACAGATAATAGTGGTTACCGAGATCAACCATCTGGCTCAACAAATGCTAGCTTGTATTCATGGTTTCATCTCTTTACAGGCTTCTTCATTAGTGAAACCTGGTTCTTCTTTCAAACAAAGGAAGCTGGAGGCTGTAGTGGCTATTTATCTGAGAGAGTGGCCATTTTTTATTACTATTAATTTTTTTTTTAATCACAATCCCCAGTTCCATAGTAATGTTTCTAGTCACTATTTCCTTTGATTAATGTACGTAATTCCAATTATATATTGGGGAGTTGTATTTCAATAGAACCAGTAGTTTGGGGCAGCCTATAAATCAACTAATAAAGAAGAAAGGAAGCAAGCAAACTAAATGAAAAATTTCTGGAAACAAGTGCTATTCTAGATGGGATGGCAGAGAGCAGTTACACCAGTATTCCTTCCAGAAAATAGCAAATTTGTGATTACCTCCCCTCAACACTTGGCAATTATTTGCCACACTCAAAATTCCAAGCATTTTTATGAGCCACAAAACATGAGTTCCATTCCATTATATTAGTTGGGATGATGTGCATTAAGCCATATTCACTGAGCTGCCCATGTTAGTGAATCACAATTCTGCCTTTGCATCAAGATTCTCTATTGTGTAAATGTTTCCCTAAAAGTCTCCATCAGCTATTGAGTAGATCCAACTATACTTTAAAGTCCATTTATCCTTTTGTGTTCAAAGCTCAATACTCTCATTAGATATAAAATGAAATGATTATTTTTTGTTAAGTTCCTACAGTTGAAAAGCAGTCTAACTCCCTAGACTGACCAAACTGAAAGTAGTGTCTAGAATTTGGCTTCAAAAAGTTTCTTAAATAGAACTTTCTAACGGGCATCCACATGCCTTTTTTTAACCTAATGCACAGTTGGAGGCTCCATCTTTTAACAATAATCTTTATGAACAGATGACAGAAAAAATATGGCAAAAATAAAACAATCTCACCTACCTCTTCTGAAGCCACAAGAGTTTATTTGCTGTAGGATTATAAAAAAAATAATGTTGTGCAAGAAAGAATATTAGCAGAAATGCACATATAAACATATTCAGGTATGAAAAGGGAACCAGGTGGGTCTTATCTATGGGTCTTAATTAGAACACCTGGCCCCCGATCCCCTTTTGCATTTTCTCTCTGAAATTACTTAAGATTTTTATGGAAGACAGAGATTTGATGTCCTCACAAATCCCTAAAACCTTTGTATCTTTAATAAAAGCCTTCTTTACTAAAGCCTTCAGGGACATAATATTTTGCAAAGATTGACAATAACAGAAACAGCAAGTGTGGTCAGCAAGGTAACATGCATGCTGATTTGTTTTTAAGTTTATAAAGACAGCAAGGAATTATAACAGATGGAGGGGAAATGGAGAAGCTGAATACATCATATTTTACAGCCTGAGAAGTTAACATTCACATGATTT